CAAAAGCCAAGCTGCCCTTTCCAGCAGCCTTCCCTGAGACAGAGCAGGGCCTTCAGTATCTCGTCATTCCAATCCAGAGATCTCAGTGATTCATTAGAATCTAGTTCATTCTAATTCAATAGTTCATCGTGTGTGGAGGGCAAGACTCAATTTCCAAACATTGCCCAGGAATGGCTCTTCTCATCCTGAAGAATGCTAACTAATAAGATGAGAAATAAAGGATGCTAAGAAATTAGCTCAGGATAATGGGAAAGGAAGACCAGTTCCACAAGGTGAACGAACACATTAGAGATCATCCATGGGGCAGTTACAATGTAAGAGGATGGTGGAGGATTATGTGGGTCTTGTCAGAAAAAAAATGAAGTCACATAGATAATGATGAAACTTTTGCCAAAAGCTTCAGTAGAATACATTCCAGCCATCATGATGTTAGCAAAGGTGTTATCAACTATTGAAAGGTATGACTGAAAATACCTAATGACTGGGCATCTACAGGTGAGCCCTCTGACACCAAGAATAAATACTTACAGGAAGAGTGATGTCCCAGTTTGCACTAAAGGTAGAAGGAAGATGACTGGTGAGTGAGAGGAAAGGAACTCAGAAACCTTAGGGGTCCCTGACATGCAGCAATACTTGGTGGTTCCTGCCCTGCTAGTGGTTGTTATTTAAAATGTGAGAACCTCTAGCTCTGTCCAGAGGACTTTACTCTTCCTGTTACTAGTGACACACCAAAAGACATCCAGTGTGGGTGAAGTGCAGGGCTGGTACTGAAACCTCTTTAGTTCCCATGTGCTTCCTTCCCACTCAGAGTGAAAGCAGAGGACCCTCAACAGAGCAGCTGCAGCCTTGACCACCCCTGGCTCTCTGCCAAACTAACCTTGAAAATCCTCAACTTTGTTCTGCTCTTGAAGAACTCTGAGGACTAAAATAGGCCCATTGCTTCTCAGAAATTCTCACCTACTTAGCCCCACTCCTGGAAGGATCAGCTCAAGCCTTCCTCCTTCAGGAAGCTCCCCATCCCTTTCCCAGGACTCACTGCGCTTTCCCCAGAACCATTTATTTCTTGATGTGTGACATGGAGACTGAAGGCCATCTTCCTTCTGCTTCCCTTTGGTTTCCCTGTGCTCGCCATCCTGTCTCCCAAGAATCCTGTTCAGTCTAGACAGCATGTCTGTAGGTGAAACACGAGACACTGCATAAATGCCCCAATGACAGTTGGTGTTGCCACAACACTGGTGACATCACATGGAATGCGAGGGCTCTCCAGGATACAGTAGAATGTCCATGTGCTGATGTCAACTGGTATACCTATTTCATCCCTTCTACATACCTTACAAAAAAGTGACTTGAATCCAAGTTGCCATTTTCAGGAGCCTCTGGGTTCACAATGGAAGCCATTAGTTATAATCCTCCTTCCAAAGCCAGAAATCTCTGTTTCATTAGAAAATTTATCTAAGTGAAGTTGAAAGCTCACTTTGCATGCACTGTCCAGGGTTGGATTTTCCCCTCCTTAAAATTCATAATCAATAATTTGAGAAAGAAAGAATGATTAGAAATGAGGTTAGGACAATGGGGAGTAGTAGGGATGAGACCTCTGAAGTGAACAATCCCCCAGGGAAATTCTCAGAGTTGTAGACATTGGTGGGCTCTAAGAAAAGTCACATAGTTAGTTATGAAGATTCCCCCAGAGTGGCAGTAGAGCTAACTCACGCTATGAGGTTGTTAGTGAAGATGTGCCTAGCTCTGGACAGGTCTGGTTGGAGCCACTAAGACCAGGTAAGCTCTCAGATATTGAAAGCAAGCAATTCATGGAAAGAGTATGATGACCCAATCCTTGAAACATAGACTGAGGAAAATGTAGTGGCAAGTCAGAGTTCA